GAGTCGCATTGTCCTGGTGTGGAGCTGCATTGTCTCTGGTGTGGAGTCGCATTGTCCTAGTGTGGAGCCGCATTGTCCTGGTGTGGAGTCGCATTGTCCTGGTGTGGAGCTGCATTGTCTCTGGTGTGGAGCCGCATTGTCCCTGGTGTGGAGCCGCATTGTCCTGGTGTGGAGCTGCATTGTCTCTGGTGTGGAGTCGCATTGTCCTAGTGTGGAGCCGCATTGTCCCTGGTGTGGAGCCGCATTGTCCTGGTGTGGAGCTGCATTGTCCTGGTGTGGAGTCGCATTGTCCTGGTGTGGGGTCGCATTGTCCTGGTGTGGAGCCGCATTGTCCTGGTGTGGAGTCGCATTGTCCTGGTGTGGAGCTGCATTGTCCTGGTGTGGAGTCGCATTGTCCTGGTGTGGAGCTGCATTGTCCTGGTGTGGAGTCGCATTGTCCCTGGTGTGGAGCCGCATTGTCCTGGTGTGGAGTCGCATTGTCCTGGTGTGGAGCTGCATTGTCTCTGGTGTGGAGTCGCATTGTCCCTGGTGTGGAGTCACATTGTCCCTGGTGTGGAGTCACATTGTCCCTGGTGTGGAGTCACATTGTCCCTGGTGTGGAGTCGCATTGCCCCTGGTGTGGAGCCGCATTGTCCCTGGTGTGGAGTCGCATTGTCCCTGGTGTGGAGCCGCATTGTCCCTGGTGTGGAGTCGCATTGTCCCTGGTGTGGAGTCGCATTGTCCCTGGTGTGGAGTCGCATTGTCCCTGGTGTGGAGTCGCATTGTCCCTGGTGTGGAGTCACATTGTCCCTGGTGTGGAGTCGCATTGCCCCTGGTGTGGAGCCGCATTGTCCCTGGTGTGGAGTCGCATTGCCCCTGGTGTGGAGCCGCATTGTCCCTGGTGTGGAGTCGCATTGTCCCTGGTGTGGAGTCACATTGTCCCTGGTGTGGAGCCGCATTGTCCCTGGTGTGGAGTCACATTGTCCCTGGGGTGGAGTCGCATTGTCCCTGGTGTGGAGTCACATTGTCCCTGGTGTGGAGTCGCATTGTCCCTGGTGTGGAGTCACATTGTCCCTGGTGTGGAGTCACATTGTCCCTGGTGTGGAGTCACATTGTCCCTGGTGTGGAGCCGCATTGTCCCTGGTGTGGAGTCGCATTGTCCCTGGTGTGGAGTCACATTGTCCCTGGTGTGGAGTCACATTGTCCCTGGTGTGGAGTCGCATTGTCCCTGGTGTGGAGTCGCATTGTCCCTGGTGTGGAGTCACATTGTCCCTGGTGTGGAGTCACATTGTCCCCTGGTGTGGAGTCGCATTGTCCCTGGTGTGGAGTCACATTGGTCCCCTGGTGTGGAGTCGCATTGTCCCTG